ACCACAAAGACGCACGCAGAATGAAGAGGCCACATGTTATCACGTTTTGAGCGAAGCAGGAAATGGTGCCGTGAATGACAAAAAAAATAAGCAAATAATGGGGACACAAACTCACTGCTCCAGGTTATAGATAAATAGGAGTTTGTGCTGAACAGTCAGAAGGTTTAGATGATGACTCAGATTCTCAATCACCATGCAGCACATGCAGGAAGCTTTCTGGTTATTTCCAAATTTTTTTAAGCTTGCTAAGTGGCCCTATCATACGGCCAGGCTCATACGTAACTGTCTTCAGTGACGAGAAGAACAAGGAGTTTTACACAAGATGTTGTGGCCCACAGCTCACACGCTATTGATGTCACATTAAGTGGTCATTCTAATATTGGCTGTAGGTAGATAAAGGACATCCACCCAGCATTCATATAGGATGATGCTGCCACCACCATGCCTCACTGTAAGGATGGTAATAGCAGGTGATCAGTGACATTCATTCATAACAATTCATTATTCACATTAATTAATATTTTCTCATCCAGGGAGGATTGTCCTGTCTCAAGATAAAATGATAAAATTAAGATGGTTTAAACACAGATACATAAATTCAGATTGGAGCAGAAACAATTTGTACATTAACTGTTTAATAAATTGCCAAATAAAAAAAACTGTTGTTTTCTTTATTTATTAATCAGCTGGGTGTTCTTCTGAATTATGATCTGGTAAACCACTCTACAGATGGAGGCATAACCAAGATAAAGGGAATTACTCAAACTTTGTTTGACTGATTTGCAGTGACCCTTTTTTTTTTTTTTTTTTTTGTTTTGTTACAATGAGTCCAATCCATGTCATCAAAAAGCACCTTCAACACAACAGAGCTGCCAGACTCAGACACTGTGTGGTTTAAGCCCATATCCTTCTATCACTGCATGCCTGAAAATGTGGTGGAAGATCTAACAGACAGGTGATGACAATGCTTAAAATTAAGGTTTAGATTTTAAAAGGCCTCCTTTCACTTGTTCATGTTTTGTAAGACATTTTTCATGAAGAACATGCAACCATTTGGTGAGTCTAACTTATTTCTCTGACAATAAATTAAAAAACAAACAAAAAACAAAACAAAAAAGAAAATATGCTTTGGGTTTTTGTTTTTGTTTTAACAATTCTGTAGAAACCAATTTGAGCGTTAATAGGCTCATGGTTAATGAAAACATTAGGTGCAAACTCCATCTACTTATGAATTAAAAGCATGACATTTGCAGTAAACAGAAAAAGATCTTCCTTTAAATAACAGCCAGGGAAACATTACAGATCAGAAGTCCTGTTTAATCCCTGCATAACTTTTCTTTACGAAGGTTGTGTTCGTCATGTGCTCGACAGCAAGAGGATTTTAGGCTCAGGTTGTGATGAAAGCTGAACCCATGAGCCGCACACACAAATACATAAACGCACTGAGCAAACAGTGTGATACTTCTCTCAAAATGCTATAGCTCTCCACAAACATCCAGCTGCGACCTCCAATACATGTGTTTTTTGTCTTCTCTGATTTTCAGTAAGTCAACGGGGAGGCTCCTGCAACAACCAATCAGCAGGCAGATGGTGCAACGCCACCACCTGAACAACAACGCATGCAAAGCCATCATTGTCCATACCATCAACTGAGAAGAGCTGAGAAGAGCTTCAGGTAGATGTAACCATGCTATGAGTTCAGTCAGGCTAACATTAAATTAAAAAAAAACAAACATGAATTAACTGTCTCAACTGGTGCCCACACATGTTTCTCCATTACATTCCTTCTTTTTACAGCTTCATAACACACACACACACACACACACACACAACCCCAACACTCAAACTACCTCCAGATGGAGTTCTGGAGGGGGCAGATCCCCAAATCTAGCCACTCCAACACGCTGAAGGATGGAGAAAAAAAGCCCATATGGAACTGACACTGCACAGCCCTTCTCGCGTTCACCCAACGTGCTGCAGTAAACCTCCTCACAGCAGCAGGCAAGCCAGCCGGCTCAGCTGGACCAAACATGACATAAATCTAGCAAAGCCTCGAAGTGTGGGTCGTTTCTACGACGACTTTCACCTAAAAAGTTTTAAAAAGAACTGTCTCATCACATTACCTGATATAAAGGGCTGCAAGTGATGATTATTTACTTTTAGGGATGTATCTAGAAATTAACCTGGCAATTTAGTAGTCATTGGTATTAAACCTAAAGTTTGACAAGAGTCCTTGCACACTAATGGATAAATCCTCAGGAAGCAGGACATGGTGCTTTTATCAAATGTTTTATTAGCTTCAAACAAGCAGAAACAGCACAGGTGAAGTAATGAAAACATTATGATAAGATTCTTATATTTGTATTTTAGACATAATTATTGTTTGTTTTTGTTTGTTTGTTTGTTTTTTTCATTTGACAGGAAACACAAAATTAAATCCATCTTTTCACTGAATTTGTGTTTCAGTTGTGGGGGGGCTTTTATTTATTTTTATTGGGGTTTTTTTTTTTTTTTTTTTTGAGGGGGGAGGTGGTCTCCAAGCGTTAATCAGTTAAACATTACATGGCTGTGAGCCAGCTTCTATTATATAACCAGCTTGTGAGGCAGATGCATTGCGCTTAAATTACTTGAATATATTTTTACCACACTTCTATCTGAAAAGCAATAAACGATGATTTGCTGTGTAAAGCTTAAAATTAAAACATAAAAGATAAAATGCTGCTTTCGCATGAATGATAATTCATGATAACACTGTTATCCGCCTTTCAAACTTAAATCTGCTTTTCCTTTAAAAAAAAAAAAAAAAAATCACGTATCCTGTCCCACTCCTACTGTCCAAAGCTTTACATTTTTAGCGTTATGTATTCACAAAAATATGACGAAACACGGCAGAGAGGGGAAACTCTTGAAGTTTATAAAAGCCGTTTATAAATGATGGTAATTACTTAATTATGTATTTGTCAGAGGTCTCGTCTCATTTTTAAATTCCCCCCACTCAGATTGGCACCTGTTAAAATACTTTATAAAGAAGCCGATGACCTCAATCACCTGACTTTTTTTTTCAAAACCAATAGGAACAAAGTAAACCCCACTAAAACAGTCAAGTATCACCAACTGTGCTATATTTCCCTGTGATGCCCTGGTGAGTCCTGACGGAGCACATGTGCACTCTCGGCTCTTTGCGCACTGAGTTTTGGGACGTGTTCTTTCTCCTGTCACACCTGTTGACCGCGGCGCAAATCCCTGGCACCTCTGAGCGGCTTTGTGGATTTAAAAAACAAAAAACAAAAACACAACTCACCGATAATTTTCTCCTGGTAGCCTTTAGTGAAGAACTGCATGGCCGTGGCAGCCCTCCAGGGGGTTTTGAGGAGTCCCTGCCGCTGCGGGTTCTCCCCGAGACCCCGCAGGATGGTGGTGTAGGCAGAGGCCAGGGACGGCAAGCTCATCTCGTTGTCCTCCAGGCTCCTGGTGCGCTCCTCCTTCCAGCTCTCCATCACAGCGGAGGTCGACCGGTGCGGAGCGGATTCTGCTCCCGGTGCCTGAGGACCGCCGGCTGCCCGCTTCACCATCCCGTCAAAGTGGCCGTTGAGCACGGAGCCGCCGTCCACGTTGTCCTTCTTCTCGTTTGAGCTGTACTTGTTCTGCTTGGAGCGGTCCATCGCTGCGGTTCTCTCGCCTTCTTAGTTGAGCACTTGTTGCATCAGTTTCTGACGGGTACTTTAGTTTGAGTTCAAGTGGGCGACACGATTGCAGCCTCAGCATCCTTTATAACAGCAGGATAATCCAGAGCGAGCTCCTATTGGCTAGCCAGATCTAAAGGGGCGGGGCCAGACCCCCCTTTGACCGCTATCTGCTCTGACTGTGACCTGCTGCTTGGAATCATTCTGCAGTTTGTGGAAGGTAACAAAGTGCATTCAGTGTGTTTATTACTATGGCCGGATTACATAACAGCGACCACTGACCTCTCTTAGACAGGAGCACGGTTCTAACTGTGCTGCTTACAGTCCTTCATCTCTTCAAACATACATGTATCACTGTCTGAGTATATTAAAAATAATAATAATAATAATGGATTGGATTTATATAGCAAGACACCCAAAGCGCTTTACAATACCACTATTCATTCACTCTCACATTCACACACTGGTGGAGGCAAGCTACGGTTGTAGCCACAGCTGCCCTGGGGCAGACTGACAGAAGCGAGGCTGCCATATGGCGCCATCAGCCCCTCTGGCCAACACCAGTAGGAGGTAGGGTAAAGTGTCTTGCCCAAGGACACAACGAGCAGGACAGAAAGCCCAGGGATCGAACCGGCGACCTTCCGGTTACAGATGCGCTTCCCAACCCCCTGAGCCACGGTCGCCCCAAAAGCCTTTCGCCAATCTTCGTTTTCTTTTTCAAGTATCTGTTGATTTTGTTTTTTCTTTAGACACAGGCTCAGGAGGGCTGTGAGGCACTCTCTGCACCACTGTTGGGGATATGTTATTGCCAAGTAATAAGTAAGTAATAGTGCACTAGTTTTCCTTTTCAAACAGACTGTATATAAAAGATACCTGTAGCCACTGTGCCATGCTGTCCTGAGTGTTTTTATAGTCGCCATGTCAGTGTTGACTCTTCACACATCGAATGAGGGGTGGCTCTGTAAAACCAAGAACTCAAGCTCATTGATTAATAGCTTCTCTAGTCACTGCCGCTGCCCCCAGGTATACCCTGGTTTGTCCTCCATTCTGATTCTAATATTGACAAAAGTTTTCAAAATGAACTAAAACACTGAACCCAAATGTTTCCTGAGCTCACAGAGCTAGGGAGCCAAAGACCATTTCTCTGACTTCGACAAAGAGAAGCCTTCGTGCACATCCACAGCACTTCTGAGACTCTAAAGCCACATCCATCTTTTAAGTACAGTCTTTTCATTTAGTCATTTCAAATTAGGAGTCATTTTGTTTTATTAGAATCCCCACATGTTAGTAAGCTGGCATAGAGTACAGCCTCTGTATCTTGAAAGTATTTTCATTATGTCTTCATGGAAAAAGCAAAAAGAAACAAAAAACAAAACCCAGAAGAACGCCACTTTAGATTTCATCATAAACCCCCAATGCTTAGGGAAGCTTTAAATGTAGCAATAGTTTGCTTTCAGTTTGCCTAAGCTGTCACTCAGCAAGAAATTAACAGGGTTGTTGCTGGTTATGTCACAAAAGGGATACCGCTGAGCACCTTCACAGAGAGCTAAAGTCGGTATATTCAAACGCAGAGGTAAGGTAGGCCCTCAAACTTAGAAATCCTCTTTTGATTTGAATTGATTAATAAGCTGTACAAAATGAAATCGCAGACTAACATGTGAACTAACAAACATTTACATTTATTAAATTGTTAAAATACAGTAAGTGTAAAATACAAACAAACAAAGAAAAAAAAAAAAGAACCAAGCGTACTTTTTTAGTGAACATCACTCATCCGTCTCCAACACTGAGGGCAGTTGTTGATATACATGTGATCTCCGTCCACTGGAGGTTTAGTTTCGGTTAAACGCAAACAGTGAAAGCTTGGAAGAGGTATCCAAAGACTTCTTCTTCTTGGCACTACTTTCATCAGCTTCGGCCTTTTCATTTTCATTTTCCAAGCCTTCTCCTCCTTCTGCTCTTTTCCTCTTCTTCAGATCTGCTGCGTCTCCGCTCTGGCCTTTAGCTCTTTCTGTCCATGACTAAAAGAGACGGGGGAAGGAATAAAATAGACAAGGACCGCACATGTTAATTACTGCACATTACAAAAACAAAAAATTGTATTGTTGTTCCGTCTCTATACAGGCTCCAAACCACCTACGTGATGATGACGAAACGCACACATGGGCACTCGGGCGTGCACTTTGAAATTGCATCCTGTCACGTATAATCACTATTGACAGCATGCATCTCTTTGGCCTGCTGGCTCTTTCCCTCCTCGAGCCCCCTCCTTTTCTCTAAGCCGACACAAGAGGAAGTGCTTTTCTGGACGTAATGGAGCCAGGATGAATCATCAGGCCTGGTGTGTGCAGTGCCAGCAACACACACACATGTGCACACGCACACACACACGCACACACACACACACACACGCACACACTACACCTCCAGTGCTTAATGAAAGACCGTCATTAACCCATGCATATTCACACAAGCAAACACACACACAAATGTCACCATTACAGAGCTGGTAGATGGTACAAGCTTTGACATATCACTAATCAGCTGCTGCTTTATTGAATATGGACTGAATAATTTTATCAACACACACTCGCACACACACAATGGTCGAGCTGTTTTAGGCTAAAGTTAAGCCTGCAGGGCCATCACCTAGGTTCTTTCATATCAACTCCTTTGATTCAAACTTGAAAGAAAATTTCATTTTTTTAAAAAAATGTCAATGTTTAAATAAAATAAAATAACTGGCAGGTATGAAATGATGTCTTGTTCATGCTGACCATATTTTCCTATGGCACTGGTCAATATTTCTTTTTGTTGTCTGACTAATTTTAGCTAATACGGTCAAATGCTAACTAATGTGGTCAGCGGCTAGCCCGCTAACTTTAGCTTTGGGGCTCGCTAACCCTGTTGCAAACAAAATACCATGTTAACCCACAGCTACAGTCTGTGTTGTGTTGGGAGCCGGTTGTTTTTTGACATTTGTGGTAAGTGGACTTTTCTAAGCTACTGTTAGCTAGTTTTGCTCAATGTTGACACTGTGAGCTTAATGGTTTCTTTATGGTCACTGCATCTTTTGTGTCAGGTGCCAACTGTGATGTCACTACAGCTACCAGTCTATACTGGTGCTCACTTGTGCCTGATATGCTTCAGTCTTCTCCTGAATGGTAGGTGTTGCTTCTCAGCCCAAAAAAAAAAAAAAACAAAACAAAAAACCCAAAACACCCCCCCCACCCACCCCTTAAGTATCAATGAGGTAGAAACAAGAAACAAAGATATTGCATTGTTTTTTTTTTACGTTAGTCTCATCTTTTCAAACTGTTGCAGCTGTGTTTGCTGGTGTCAAACGGGCTGGCCCAAGTACTTCAGAAACTGCTGATCTGCAGTTTTCCTGAACAACCATCTCTAGCGTTCAAAGAGAATGGTGTGAAAAACAGAAAATATCCAACAATATTCAGCTAAGAACAAGAAAGTGTGCAATTTCACACATGCTTGCCAAAAGAGAACTGGTGGATTGGAAAAACACTGCCTGGTCTGAATGAGTCTCAATTTCTGCAGCATGCTAGGGTCAAAATTTGACAGGAAGAACAAGAGAGTGTGGATATAACCCACCCAGTATTTAAACAGTTTAGACTGGTTACAATCGTGGTGTTCCGCTGTAGGAATATTTTCTTGGCACACTCTGGGGATCGCTTTGTATTAACTGAGAATCATTTAAACTCCACAGCCTACACGAGCATTGTGGCTGGCCATGTCCATCCCTTTATAACCACAGTGTTTTTCTAATATGACTACATCATTTTCTGATAACTACATCTGGCAACGTAACGTATCATGTCGCAAAGCTCAGATCTTATTAAACTGGTTTCTTGAACATGGCAATGACTCTAATGATCTCGCATGGCCTCAATCCAACCTTTTGGATGTGGTGGAAACTGAAATGTGCATCATGGGTGTGCAGCCGACATTCTGGATTCATCTTTCAGAACAGCTGAAAATTCGGATCAGAATTATGCTCCTGCTGATTGACCAGCCGATCGTCTCTCATGCATCAATGCTTTGCGCCCTCAGTGCCCAAACACACTTGACTGGGCTCCCAGGCAACAGGCATCCCCTCACCCCCACTTCCTCCTCATCCAGCTTTCTGCTGAGAGTCTTGATGTATGCAGGGTCAGGGCCAGTGTACCACAGAAGCACTCGGCTGGATGAAAGGACGAGGCGTGTCATTAGTGGCACAACCACCCTCATTCACTCACCTATTGACTGACCACAGCTGAGACACAGCATTTCAGAGAAAAGTGGTTAAAACCAAACCCTGGATTTCTTTTTTTTTTTTTGTTAATGTGACCCTACAGGACTCTAATGACAGTACAACAACTTAATCGAGTGATTTTAAACTTTTGAATACATTTCTTTATATTTAGGAATCTACTTATCTATTTTATTCAAATCTGTAGACCTGCAGTCATTTTTAAAAATAAAAAGCTTCAGCTGGTTGGACAGCTCAAGCGGTACTGATGAGACTATTCGAAGCAGTTACGCTGGTTAGACTAGTGATGGGTGAGTTTTCAGATGATCTGTTGCTGGGAAGCGGTACAACTAGCTCCCATGTTCTCAGCTTCTCATTAAAATGCGAAAAACATTTCAGTGCTTGGGAGGAAGAGAAGAGTACACGTATGGATACATTTCTCATTTGATGTGAAAGAAAATAAGACACTTTGTAAACAGTGTGGAGCAGCTATCAGCACAACACACTCTTACATTTTATATGTTATTCACCTGAACCAATTTCAGATCGAGTTTACTATAATTTTATGATATTTTCTCAACTGAAACTAGACTAAAACTAAAAGAATTTAGATGGTTAAATTATGAGTAACACTAAATTCTAATTTGCTGAACACGTGCCCATCTTTGATTTCTGAATGGGAATCAGCTTGGAGTAGAAATATGGCCAAAAGCTGAAGTCAGCTTATAAAAACTGCAAATTGTGCACACCCACATAAAACTTGTAAGAATCCTTACAAGTGGAGGGCTGAAAAATGGGATTCTCTGCATTTACAATTTCAGTTGGGTTAATGAAATTATAGACAAGGGTGTCAACGGGGGCTCCGGGGGTTGAGGATCAACCTGCCAAAGACTCCAATCACTGGACAGCTTTGGAAATTTTTGACATCACTGTTTTAGCAACCCCCCTCCTCTCTAAAACCCTCGATGTGTTATACCAGTCTCTCCTCTGCCGACAGCGTCCTGAAGCGTCCCATAGCCTCCTTGATGACGTCGGTCTCTTCCAGGTCAGGGTTGTCGGCTAGGATACTCTTCCTGTTCTCCTCCAACCAAAGCTGGAAGCCTGTCTTTGGCCTAAATGCACAGAGAAAACGAGAAATGCTGCCCTGTTTAAAAACGCTCTACATGTCTACATGTCTACATGAATCTGTTTTTGAACATCCCAGTGTTCAAAGGGTCTAACCGTTTCTTTCTTTGAAATCTTTTACCTCTTGTTCTCAGAGTTTTCTGCAGGTGGTCCTGGAGGCGGGGTGTCTGGTCGTTTCTGCAGATTTGCAGCTGGCTCTGTGTTCTCCTGAACCTTCTTATTAGCTGTCTTTGTGGCAGCCATCTGCAGCAGAGTAGACTGAGTCTTCACAGGAAAAAAAAAGGACATTTTATTGTTTTGAAAGATGCAGTATCTTTTCCAGGTACTATCATTTTGAGACCTCGGCACAGCTATGTGGAGACATGCTACAGCTTTAATTTCTGAGACGGTACCTTGGTTTTTGGCTTGGGGGCCAGAGGTTTGAGGATGGGACTTTTGCTGGGTTTCCCCCCAGAGCTGCTGAGCTGAGCTGACTTCTTGCTGGACGTCATGTTGTCCAGGATGTTTGTTACTCGCGGCTGACTGGATGAAGCTGACATTTTCCCCGAACCAGGAACCTGAACACACCAAAGCAATAACAAAATTTAAAGAAAAATCTTAAAGATATTGTATATGTTCCTTATAGTCAACAAATCACATGAAAAACAGCAACAACAAAAACAGTGCGTTTCTTCTTCTTCTTTGCCGCTGACTCCAAGGTGACTGAGCCACACCCGGTGGCTTACCAGGTACTTTATTAAGAAGAAAGCCTGTATATAAAAGATGGAGGCAGGAAAGTGATTTCACCCATCGTTTTAGTTTTTATACTGTACTTAACTGAGCCTTGAAGGCTAGCCAATACTTATCCCTCAAAACTGTAAATACAAAAAAGTTGCACAAAATAGTTTCCCACCACAGAAAATTTATTTTGAGTGTCTTCATAGTTTTATTTTTGAAATACACCAATTTCTATACACTGCAGGAAAAACGAAAATAAATATTATAGTGCAAATTTGCAAAAAAGCAGCATATGCATCAAAATAAACTATTTCCAGCAGTGCAATATGAGTCCTAAGCATCCCAGAAACGACACAGAAAGTCATTAAGTCAAACATAACTTTTAAAAACACCAGTATAAGCTCATAAGGCCTTGATGGGAAAAAAGTACATTTCCACGTCACTTCCGGTTTCGGGCAGGTCATGGCGGACATGCGATAGTTCGTGCTGATGGACGTAGGAAGTGTTATGAACAGCTGATCGGATCGGCAAATCGTGTTTCTGGAATATTATGTTTTTGTTGCTGCAAGTGCTTTTTATGCAGTTTTTGCAAAGCTATATGTGGAAGGAAACTGTGAATTAGGACAAGCTGATGGCATAAGATGTAAGTACAACTCCTCCGGTTTCATATGGAAAAAAATTATTGCGCTAGCTTACGTGGTTGCAGTGCTACCGGGATTTAAAAATAGTTACGCAAAACGGAGCGTGCCCGCTCTGACCGGTTTTAAAGGGTTAAGAACCACTTCTCTCTCTTTAAACCTCTTACAGTCTTTATTCATATTCAAAACCAAAAGAGTCTTTTGTCTTTTATTAATGGTTAAACATCAAAAAATGACTAAAAGTCTTTTTCCATTAGTACCCACTCGGATTGGCTTGAGCGAGTGGACTTGTTTTCTATTACAATTGAGTGCTACCTAATGTGTGTGGGGTTGTTATAGCAACACGGACGAACGTCCTGTGACATCATCTGTGTGCACCACAAATGCCACAACAAAAGAGTTGGCAGTCTCATAAGACCTCATCAGATCGCCTGGAACCCCGGCCAAGCATGTTGTAAAAAAAGCACCTGGTACCGAGTCGCGTAGGTAATATTGGAAAAGGGCTATAATGAGACCACATCCTTGATTTTGACGAAATGAAAATCTAAAAAGTCACAGTTCTTACCTTAAAAGGATTTGCACGTCCCATTTTACCAACTGAAAAACAAGGAAGTGATTCAGATAAAATTGGCTGACCAAATTCTTCAGTCAACACCTAATAACAGGTCTTGTTTCATATTTGAATATTAAAATGGGCTTGGGTGATGGGAGCGGCTGTCCCACTTTAATCTTACTCTGAAAACCTTCCAACAACTGACAAAGACTTGAAATGAAATCAAACCCAGCTAAAACTCCACTGACAGAGACACCACAAGTGTACAACATGAGGAGGACAGTACATGGCTATTGGGTTATTTGGGTTATTTGTCCTGCATCACGCTAAAGTGACTCACCATAATACTGAACATCTAAGCTGGCTGACAGATATGCGTTTACTCACTTGGTGTCGGAGACGGCTTGATGGGTGAGCCGGCTTCTTTAGCAAACGGGTTCACACCTGACAGACATGGAGGAGGCGTGTTAGCATGTTAGCAGTAGCACTGGCAACTTGTGCAAAGTAAGAGGTGGAACTGACGTTTTTTTGTTTCTGTCGCCTCTTCCGGCTCCATCTCCTGTCTGTCCTCTTCCTCCATGAGCTCTTCTCCTCTTTCCTCCTCATCCTCTTGCTCCTCCTGCTGATTCTGTCTTCTGCTGTAACGTCCTCCCGCTGTGACATCGGTGTGGCCATACCTGTGCAAAAAGAGAGCGAATACTGCTGTTTTCAATCTGTTTGTAAACTATAAAATAAATTGGAGGAGACTGGTGAAGGTTTTACACTTAAAATGCTGCAATAAATGTTACATGGTTGATATTTGTTCTTCCTTCATCCATATAAAAATAACATATAAATAACCTATATTTAAAAAAAAAATGTTCAAGGTTTCACATCATAAAAGAGCTCTGCTTTTTTTTCCTTCTCTCACCCCAACCGGTCGCAGCAGATGGCCCCGCCCCTCCCTGAGCCTGGTTCTGCCGGAAGTTTCTTCCTGCTAGAAGGGAGTTTTTCCTTCCCACTGTCGTACAAAGTGCTTGTTCATAAGGGGTCATATGATTGTTGGGTTTTTACTCTGTATCTATTATTGTACGATCTACTGTACAATATAAAGCGCCTTGAGGCAACTGTTGTAGTGGTGAATTGCTTTTTTAACCAAGTAACCATCTCGTTGAAGAACATGTATCAGCTGACCTGCTTTGATAAAGATAATTTTATTGAAATGACACACTCGTTGTGTGGTATCTATGCTGCGCTCAGCAGTGACGTGAAGTCGTCTGACACTGCTATAGGGTCGTCACCCATAAAGGGTGAGGTTTGTTATTTTGGCCAAAGCCAGACAGTCCAGATTAATTTACACAAACAGTGAAAGTGATGCATGCTTTTTGACATTACCCAGAGCCCCGTCTCGTGCTGGAGTATTCAGGCTCCTCTTCCTGCTCCTCTTGCTCTTCTTCCTGCATCTGGTTGGATTTCTCCAGAGCAATCTCACTGAGCCGCTGTGCGAGGGCCATGCGTCTGGATCGGGATGCGTATCGTATGGCCAGAGTCACCACATTCTGGGTCATCATCTCTGCCAGCTCCACACAGCGAAACTCTCGCTCCAGTTTGCAGGACAACTGTAAGAAAACAACAACTCTAAAAAAATCTGTACTTTGGGAGTGTCTCGATCACCAAGTGTTTGCAGCGTTCACACTTACTGCAAACATCTTCATGAGCAGCTCCTGCTGCTCCTTCTGGGACTGATTCTGAGCGTCTTCATCTATTTCGTAGCCGCTGGAGGACAGGAAGCTGTAGTGGTCGTGGAAAAGGACCGAACGCCAGAACTGCTCCTGAATAACAGAGGAGGATGTTCAGCTGTTACTGGATCCATGACACCACTGAGCCACCTGAAAAGATCTGAGGACTGGATTACTTCGATAACCCATTGTCCAGGTGCTCATTCTTGTGTTTATTTACCTCCATCTGCCCCTTCTCTGTTGTGGTCTGACACAGGGGCAGCTTGAAGGGTAGGATGGCCACGGCCGGTCTGGGCAGGGTGGGAGGATACCTGGAGCCTTTACATGGAATACACCTAACAGGACGAGGACAGAAGGAATGTCAGCCTCTAAGAAGCAATAATTAACCAGCATCGAGTATCGGCTCATATGCACTGAATGCATTAGTTTAGTCACTTTTTATTTCCTGTTCAAACTGCTAAATCAATGAGCTGTGATGCAGATGAAAGCTCACCTGAGCTGCTGAGGGTTCTCGTGCACTCCAACCACCCAGTAGTGATCTGATTTGCTCTTGCAGGTCTCTCTGGTGTTGCACACTGGAGTCCATGTGTTGCCCAGGGAGCGGTTCAGCATTCGCACCACGCCGTCTGAATCCACATAGCACGGGGTACCTGAAAGACCACGAGATGTATTCCAGGACAGGTTGTTCCAAATCATCACCAGCAGCAAAGTAATGATGCTTCCCATGAGATTCTTTCACATTATAATATCTTGACATACTGACCCTCGGCTGTGAAGCCGAGCCAAGACAAGTACGATTTTTGAGAGAGGGGGAGGGGTTCGCCACTGATGAGTTGCCTCCTCTTTCGACTGAACTGCAACAGCTGGACACCCAGAGCCTGTTCTCCATCGAAACCTGTAGCTGGTGGTGGAAAACGAGACACATGTAAAGAGCTGGAAGATAACACTGCAAACTGCAGTACTTATATTTGGAGAGAGTGGAAATTTCCAGATCACAGCTTAACAGTGGGGGGTGGCCTTTACTCTCATCTCTTGTGCTGCACATTTTACATTTACACTCTGTGGTGACTCCATGTGGTGGAAAGTAAACTGAATGAACGGAACTGACATGCAACAATGACACACCGACAGTTACATCACAAAGCTAAGAATAAATAAATAATTCCTAATTTTATTTTTGAACCATACAAGCACATGCAATGTGCTGATTATCACAGAAGAGTGTGTGTGTGTCTCTAACCCCGATGGTAGACGACGAGCAGCTGCTCTCCATGTCCTGCCATGCAGACCACAGGCCCTGGCAGGCTGAACAATTCTCTCTGTACTCCTCCGATGGAGAAGAGCCTGATCATCAGCGTGCTGGTGGCGACTGCTGCCCAGCCTTGACCCAGACAAAGCGCCCTCACGTCCTCCCCTTTAGGAAGGTCGACCATCCACTCCTTATTGGTGTCCCACGAGGAGAAGTGAAGGCACTGCAGCTTACTGGAGAGAGAGAGAGGGGGAAAATACTGAAAGGGGAGAAATAAATAAATAAATCCCCAGAAGCAGGTCAGGTGGAAGTTTTACCTAGCGAGCTCTTCTGTGCTGGGGCAGGCCAGCAGCACGGCCTCCTGGGACAGATCAGCCACGGTGTGACCCAGTGAGTTGGTGAGGTGCATGGCGTGGTGCACGGCCGTGTCGTGAAACTCCACATCGATGGCGTTGTCCTGCTCGTCGTTGTAGCCTCGCACTATACCCACGGAGTTCCACATCTGAGGCACAGTTTGCTGTTATGACATGCGAGCAACTCAGATTTACAGTGTAATGACTCTCAGTGTGTCCTACCATGAAGCGGTGTGTGAGATGTGCAGGGGTGGAGCCCGGCTGGAAGGCTTTCTGGGGAGGAGTTGGCACGGGCCCCTCGTAGACAGGACGTAGGGGCACCGCTGGGGCTGCTGCAGGCGCCACAGAACTGCCTGCGTCATTGTCCTGACCAAGCTTCAGTGATCCTGTGTCTGAATGAAAAAGACAAAAACAAAAAAATGGAATAATTTCAGGTGATGTCTCCATTCATGTGAGATGTATGCTGAGACATGCTGTGATGATCACAGTTTCACTTCTTCTAAAATCTGAACACCTTGTAACTTTAATCACCTAATTACTTTTTTTCCCCATAGATTAACATTACCAGTTAAAGACAGCAATAGGCTAACCTGAAATCCAAGTTCATGCTACAGACTTTCTGATCAAAATTCAAATAAAAACTCTAAACACTTGTTTTGATGTTGAACTTTTGCAATTGAGCTCTTTAGTTAAGATTTTTTTGTGCTCTTTGTGCTTCTTACAGTTTGTGTAAGAACTATCTATATATCTACCTATCTATATCTATCTATCTATATATATATCTTTATCTATATATCTCTATATATCTATATATCTCTATATATCTCTATATCTATCTATATCTATATATCTATCTATATATATCTATATATATAGTTATTTAGTCCCACTTAGACAGCTAGTGCCATCCCTTCTTCGCAAGAATTTCTAATTTCCTAATCTCAATCTTTGAACGTTGTGTTTCCTGTGTTTTGTAATACACTTTCAATTATTTCTGACATTTTAAGGACCAAACTATTGCTCGAGAACATAACTGCAAGATCAATCAATGATGAAAATAATAGTTAGGTACAGCAGGAGTTTGTGATGGCCAGAGCACCTCGCTTTTATCTTCCATCTGTATTCGCCCCCCTTAATGACCCCATCTTCACCCACCTAGTGAGTTCTCGTCGTCCAGGAACGCTCCTCTGTTCTTCACCCGCCCAGTCGCAGGCACCAGGAAATCGTCATCGTCATCGTCCCAGCCAACGGCTTTCTTAGCTGGAGACTTTGTGTCACTCAGTCCTTCATCCATCAGTCTGTCATCGTCATCATCAAACAGGTCATCATAGTCTTTTGCAGGATTTTTTGTAGCGACCTGCTGAAAGTCCATGACAGATTTAAGCAGCTTGAATTTAACTGAACAAAAGAAAAAAAGGGAGACTTTGAAGCTGGGCGTGTTTACAGTTGTGTTATGAACTAACCGCAAACAACGCTCAACTGGTTATAAATGCAATCCGGTAACTGAACAATCTATGGACGCTGTTGTTCCTGAACAAAGAATATGCAATAACACTAAAAGGCATTAAAAAACTCTGGGGCCTCTGGATATCTGGGGCCTGGATCTCCTCCATACCTGCTTCATGCCCTGGGGGACGGGGCTATGGCTCCCCACACTCCCTAGCAGATCGTTACATGGAGAAACCTTTGGAATACAAGCATGCTGATCCACACAGGTGTACACACGGGTGTTCACAGACGCGGACTACACCTTTCTTGGCTGCTACCTCAAAGCACATTGTGCGTTGTCTATCTTGCGTGCTGCACAATAGCGTTTAATATTTAGTATCTACTGTTATCTACTGCTAGCTAGTTTATTGTGATGGTGCTGTTTTTATTATGTTGCTCTTTTTTTGTCTACTTTCTCTTCTGTTTTTTTTTTTCTCCATACAGGTGATCCAGGTGTTTTGTTTGTTTTTCTTTCTTTCTTCCCCCCTTTCTCACCGTCTCTTCTCCCCTCTGGTTTTCTTTCTCTCCCTCTCTTTCTTTCATTCTTTCTCTCTGTCCTATCCCCCAGTCTGTCTGTCCCGTTTGTAGCAACCGAAAATAAAATAAAATAAATACATAATTATAATAAAGGTCAATCAAATGGACCAATATGGCAAGGCCATGATGATCCACTTGGTAAAATAAATCCGCTTGGCATCTTTCTTGGCCTTAAGACAACAATTCTGATGGCTAAAGATCCAAACGGGACAACAAAGGAAAAAAAAGGCATTAAAAAAAAGTAGTGATAACTTCCTGATTTTAAAGGTTTGACCTGTAAATTTATGTTTTACAAGTGACTTGTCTGTAGTTAGATTTCCTTTTCTTACGGCAGAGATCTATCCCAGCTAATCTAATGAAGAAAGATAACCTGCAGAGCTGGATGAGTCTCAAAATCTTACTTCATGGTACAGGGATGTACAGAGGGGGTACAAAAAAAGGTTACTTGAGCAGTACCTTGGTTGTATTGTTATCAGCTGTGGAGGTGCCGAGTCCGTCCAGCAGGCCCAGGCAGCCCTCTGTGTCCGTGTAGGCAATATTGCTGCCTGATGGATGCCAGGCCAAACTGCACACTGTGAAGCCTTTCTCGTGTTTCTGCCTACAGCAGAGAGCAGAAAGCTTAAACTTTAGTGATGAGCAACATCGACTGTTCAATGTTGCTTTTGGCAGAGACGACAAGAAGATTGACATCATCTGTGCACAAACTATATAAAGAGACACAAGCCCAAGAAAGAACACACGATTTGTTTAATACAAATACTGGGGGAGGGGGAAAACACATAATAAACTATTCCTTTAATGATGACACCAGCCTTTAAGTCTCGGTTATCTTTAGCCCTCAAGCACTGGGAACCAAGGTAAACAATTTCATCAGCATCAGTCCCCTAAACTGGTTTACCCGTTACCCGTCATATATATGCTTTTAAATTCACTCAGCGTCTGCACAGCTTTGTTTCCTACCTTTCCACACACAGCTTGCTGTTCACGTCCCACACTGTAAGTAAACCCCCCACGCAGCCAGCTGCCAGGAAACGCTCGCAAGGAGACCAAGACACCACGTTAATGGGCTGCAAAAATGAAGGAGGGGAAATCAAATTTAAGAAAAAAGAAAAATAATGATTGAGTTGTTTCGGCTATTTAATATCTAAATAACTCACTCACTGGTTTTAATAATAAAACAAACAAACAGTAAAAACTCCCACAAAGGGGTTTAAAATAAATTAAATAAACCTTTAATGAAATAAAACTACCATTCAATTCTTCTTTAAGGTCAGACTAAGAAGTGAATAATATATATACTAGGAACAAAAGTACCTGGCCACACCTGCTAAAAGGTATAGTCAGTATTTTTTTTAAGGTTATTTAAAACATAAAAGAACATTGTACTCAAAAATATATCTCTTCATTTGTAATTACATCTTCCAACAAACTGATGTGTTCTCATAAACCTAGAATTAATCAATTAAAAGTTTATACAAGGGGAAGAAGTGACTCATCAACTTGTATCAGACTCCTTTCACAAAGTTTTGAAGAGTAAATAGAATGAGTCCTGCTAAAGGGTGAGGTGCTGCAACAGGAAGCCATCATGGCAACAATGCAGTTAATTAAACTTCTTCCCTCCCAGATATTTCAGGATCTATTGTAAATGATATTGTTGCAAAGTGGAAGGGTTTAGGAACATGTCAAGTTACAGAGCGGGGTCACCAAGTGCTGAGGTGCACAGGGTGTAAAAGCCTCCAACACTCTGCTGATTCAGTAACTGCAGAGTTCAAACCTCCTCCTGTGGTGAGAGCTTCATGGTGTGGACTTCAATGGCTGAGCTGCACCTATAGACAGTTAGTACTTTGTCCATATAGTACTTAAGCAGTCTCAAGCTAAACCTTCTTCAAAAAAAATAATCGTATCTAGCCTTTTATCTAAGTGCTGTAATCACAGAGTGGTTTCACACAGTGATTCTCCCATTGTATCAAACAGACCATTAAAATTTTTACTTTGTATTTCTGTAGTGAACACTTTCTTTCTAAACCCAGAACTTTATTTTAAAACCTGTGTTTGCACTATCTGTGCCTTTTGCAATTATCCTGCTGTGTAGTAAAGGCCATCCAGGTGGCAAGTCCAGTTCTACTATTTTATTAGCCTGGTCCTCAACATTAAATAAGTAATGCATGTCTGCATGTTTCACCCCTGCAGTGTACGAATTTAACTTGCATCCCAAGCTTAGTAGTGCTAGCTGATAACTTAACAGTCCACCCTTCAAACTAAATGTATTCATTTTTAATATAGAAGAAACATCCCAGTCCAACCAAAAATGTGATGTCCCAGATGCTGCATCCTTCTTTAACATACAGTCTTTGGTCATGATGCCAAAAGTAGTGCTAAATATTGCTGTACTACTTAGCATTAGCAGACAAATAGATCAGCATATTGATGTCCTAGACAGGATTGTGAGGCCATGTACACAGTTACAACAAATACTGCTTATACTGATAGTCAGGTGTACAATGTGCACCACGTCGACAATACTGGACCTCACCTGTGCGAGCAGATCATCGGACAGAGTGCTCACGTGGTCCCAGGAGCCTCGCTCGTACAGGTGTACCTTGGTTTCAACAGGAACAGCTAAAAACTGACAAATGCAAATGTTTTGTTATTTTAGGACTGATGTCTTTCTCGCTCTCATTCAAGGCAGCAAAGAGACGTGTCCCCAACCTTTCCCATCCCGGGCTGCCAGGCCAAACGACACAGAGACTTGGCGTTAGTGACGTCATTTGACTTCTGCAGCAGAGGCCAACTGATCACCTGAGTCTGAGAAAGAAGATAAAAATCATGTAGAAAATCAGAATTATGTGCATTTTTCTAATGGAAAAGTGCTGAAATGCTGATATACCTGCTCCTCAATATTCCACACCACCACAGAGCCATCACAGCTAGCAGAGGCCTGAAAGACAAAGGCGACAGTGATGTGATGTACGACAGGTGTGCTCAGGTTATAAATTCTCTTCTCTCCTTTTTTTAAAAAAAAAAAAAACACTGTGTGGTTCTCTTTTGTATTTATACATTTAAATTAAAACTCTAAATGGAAGTAACCACAGTAATATGATGAGGAACAATGGGGCGTGGGTTCATATTAAGTTGCAATGAAATGAAGATATTGTCCCATTTGTAACTCAACACAGATACTCACTTCAGCCTCTGTGTTGAATTTCTGCTTTCAGACACAAGGTTCACTCACCAAGAAGTCATCTTTGGGGTCAAAGGTGACGCTGAGGACAGGTGCCTCGTGACCCCTGAGGGTTTTCTGTTGACTGCTGTCTGACACCTCCACCACCTTAACCATGAAGTCACTGTGGAAAAAGGAGAAAGGTAAGCTGTGTTCACACGTCACCGACTGCCTGCCAGTGAGCAGCGGCATAGTTGAGAGGAAGGGTCCATCAGCTGTGACCTAACACAAGTGCAAATTGTCAAATCAATGAACAAGAGGAGCAAAACATCACAGATTTCCTTCACCGTCTACCAGAAGGTAGATGCCGAATCTGCCCTAACAGCCACAGATGCCTGAATCTGAACAATCAATCCCACTACTGAAATTACCAGGGTGAAAATAGCAGCATCAATACGGCACCTTGCTCTGTGCTTTTATTACTGTCATAAACCTGTTTAGGGCAAATCATTTCTGGCAGCAAACATACGTTTATCTCCAATCTGGACTAATCAGAAACCAATCCGCCTGCGAGCTGGAAACATCACAGCTGTGTGGAGCTGATTCTGCACTGAAGGAACAATAATGAACCTAATGGGATCACCTTGTGCTGTAGCCATAAACACGCACACATACACACACCTGGGGGGGGGGGGCAAAACCGTTAAGCACGACTGCCTCACCAGGTGCCACGGGAGAAATTGAGGCAGAGAGGACGCGCATGGTTTAGCAAAGCAGAAGTGACATTTGTTCATCTTTCAGAATCATTGGTGGAAAATATCACAGAAGCAACACATGAGTGTGTCTGGTCAGCTGTAACTCAATTAATTCTGAAGGTTTGCACCTGACATCAGGTCATGTCACAGGTACTCCAACTCTTCCAGCACATCAATACATGCCATTGCCAGAATGTTTGCTGTGTCTCCCAGCACAGTCTCAAGGAGACTCCAGTGCTGGGACAGTTAATCTAGGAGAGCTGGACAGGACAGTAGAAAGTCTTTAACCCATCAGTATCTGCTCCTTTGTGCAAGGAGGAACAGGATGATTATTGCTAGAGATACAAAGTGACCTCCAGCAGGCCACAAGTGTCTGACCAAACAATCAGAAGCAGACCTCATGAGGGTGGCTTGAGGATCCTAGGTCCCCGACTGGGCCCTGTGCTCACTCTGTACTCACCATGGAGCCTGACTTACATTACATTACATTACCAGAATTAACAGACAAGAGCAGGTACGTGTGAAAAGGTCTGGAGAACCCGTAGAGAAAAGTTATACATTATTCAGCATGACCGATTTGGTGGTGGATCAGTGGCATATCCATGGAGGGATGCACAATTCTCTACAGGCTAGGCAACAAAACCATGACTGCTAATAGGTATCGGGATGATATCCTTGGACCCACTCTCAGACGCTGGTGCAGCGCATCCTGGATTCCTCCTGGTGCTCAACAATGTGCGGCCTCATCTCATTTGAAATGTCCAAACTGTGTAAACACTGGGCAGCAACAAATTCAGACCTGGACTGGGTTCTAATGGAACGTGAACTGGCCTTTCCATTTACCCCCATTGAGGTGTTGGCTCAAAAACCGTACAATAAGATCAGGGAGAAGATCCCCTCCCCCATCATTGTCTCATAAGGAGCAGGACCCTACATTGTCAGGCACACATTAAAGTACACATTATTATGAGAGAGAATGCTCAATATGAGAGGGATAGCTCAATAGGTAAAGTGTTGGCCCCGTGATTGGAAGGTCAGGGGTTCGATTCCCCTGAACGGCTACCCTGAGGTACCCCTGAGCAAGGTACCGTCCCTACACACTGCTCCCCAGGTGCCCAATGGCAGCCCACTGCTTCACTAAGTGAATGGGTTAAATGTAGAGAGGAATTTCCCCACGGGGTCAATAAAGTATACATTATTATTACATGTAATATGCAGGGGCCATGTAAACTACAAAGTACCATCTGAGCTGGAATGAATGAACGGACTAATGATGTGGCATCCTTTCATTCCTTATGAAACTCCCCAAAAGGGAGTTTTTCCTTCCCACTGTCGCCAAAGTGCTTGCTCATAGGGGGTCATATGATTGTTGGGCTTTTCTCTGTATCTATGAAGCGCCTTGAGGCGACATTTGTTGTGATTTGGCGCTATATAAATAAAATTGAATTGAATTGAATTGAATTACACACCACCCAGCCCATATCTGTATCTGGCAATGAGCCAGCAAAGTTAGTTATATTTTAACCTTAATTAATGCTCCTTCAAATATCTAAGGTATTACTTTTATCCTGTTTTCATTTATATCATTTCAGTTCAGCACAAGCTAGCCAACTATCAAGTACCTGGACCCAGCTGCAACTCTCGAGCCAATGCTGTTGAAGGCGACGTGTGTGGCATTGGTGGTGAAGCGGGTCAAGATGCCATCTGGATCGCCGTCAGGAAATGTGTGGATCTGCACGGTGTTGTTGGAGCTCGCCGTTACCAGCTTGCCATTCTGTGGAGCAGAGAACACATTGGTCCAAACATCATTTGTATGATGCAGAGTGTCACCGAATAATGATGACATCTGTAGAAAAGTCAGAGAAAATCCAACCTTCAGTGCCAGAGAGTAAGCCTTCTCCCCGACAGTGATAAACTTTGGATCATCATCATCCAGACTCTCCCAGATCCGAACATCTCCGTCATTTCCGCAGGTTACAATGAACCTGTGGACAATTTGATCAGGCTAGTTTACAGAAACTTAGTGCAGCATAAGATTGATGAAATGATCTGTTTAAATTATTAAGTCTACCAGAAACCAAAATCAGGACTGTGAACGATTTCAGTTTAACGTGGCATAGAATTTAAATGAATCACATTTTACTCAGTTTCAGCTCATTGAAAGACTTGTGTTGTCATTGATGTCACTGTGAGACTGATGCGCTCAAGTTCATATGTCCTTGCCTGGTCTGGTCTGACTAACCTGCGGGCTACACTAATAATTTAAAGGACATGCTTGTAAAGCAATACTTTCACAGGCTGTGGGCCGATCATAGGTAAAATCTGAGTCTTAAACGCAATCAGATCACAGCTTTACTTGTACATTAGCTGTCACAGTCAGTGCTCAAAGGGAGACACTTTTTTGTTTTCGGACTCACCTCCCAGTGTCATCAAAGCACACCTCGGTGTGTCCTTCAGAGTGGCCGTAGCGCATCGGCTTCCTTTCACATGGCATTTTGACAAAGCACCAGACTGAAGAGAGGAGAAAACACGTGAAAACCTCTTCTTCTATCAAGTAACACAGTCTACACCTGCTCCTCCGCCACTGCTGCCTTATTAACCCATGGAGAGCTAAGAGCAGAGTTGAGCTAACGCTAACAATAGAGCTAAATATAGCCGACCACACTCGTACAAACTCCACGGTGTTCACGGCATCAGACACTAAACCACCGGAGGCAGTTTTACACTGAGCTGTGAACAGAGTATTTCGTTAGAAATCAACTTACACGTTTCTTGGGTGGACACACTCGGTCCTCTTCTCCTGAATCTCCCGCGCTGCGTTAAAAACAAGGAAACGTCACGTCACGACTCCCGCCAGCAACGTCATGACGCAAATTTTGTAATCCCTCCCACGTTTGAACGAGATTTGGGGTTTATTTATTTATTAATCCATTCATTTATCGAAAGGCTATTTACGACAGATTTTGGACAGTGGTTGAGACACACGCTGTTATTATACTATTCCAGTGTTATCTGAGGAAATGTGCCTTAAAGCATTGAAACATTTTTTTTTCTGTCGTTTTCCGACAAATTTATTTTACACTACAGTTGGATGGTGTATGCAAGTGATACATAGATTATATAATTATATAATTAGGCTCTTGTCTGTTAGAGGACTTTAAAATGTAATATTTTAATGTACACATTTTAATGTATTATCATTATTATTATTGTTGTTATTATTGTTAGTAGCAGTAGTATTATTATTCAAGTATTATTATAAGTCAGACAGGAGTCTTTCAGTTCATCTCACATTTATAATTCGAACAATACATGTATTGTAATTTTAATTTTAAAAAAATCATTTTTTTAAAGAAGGAATGAAAGAATATAATTTCACTTGATTCTCATTTGTTTGGATAATCCACATTTTATTTTTCAGACTGACGCTTTCCACTGTAACACACATGGAAACATAGTGAGGGTATAAGACTAAAGTCTATGTAAATATTCACTAAAAAAACCTTTTTGTTTAATTATTTATTTATATGAACCTTTTAATATATATATAGATTATGCACCCCTCAGTGTTTTCTCAGGGGATACTTTGATTAGTGGAACAGGAAGTTCTCTGCTGGCAGACATCAGTGTATCTGAATATTATATCACTGATGTGTAATATTGTACCAGGACATGTGAAGCAGGCCTAAAGCTTAGTTATGTGTTTTAGTCTACACAGGGCTGCCAAATGCAGTCCTGTACTAACATAAAACCTCAAAAGCAAAGTTCTTGAACTTGGAAATCCACTGTATGATGCATCCAATATAACAGCGCACGATGGCTTCGCGTTGCTGAAAACCCAAGCTCCTTAATCAGCTCCTACGAGACAACATTAATACTTTATGTACATGGGTCAGGAAGATCAATAGACATGGCTCCTGAGTCTCTCCATTGCCTGGCTACTGACTTGTGTGCAATCAGGGTGATGAAACAAAGTTTGCCACATGAAAGACAAACAAGTATGAGAAAGTGATCAGCAAGTGTCTGGTTTATTTCATGTTTAAAATGAAAACTGTAATTTTCTGGCTTTTATCCCATGAAGGATTAAAAAATAGTAGATGCTCAATTTCCTGTGCTACAAGAATCCCACAAATATTTCATCTGACAAACTGAGTTTAAGTCAACACAGAAAAAAAGGAGCATTTTCTCTGTGGTACATTGGTACTGAACCCAAGATTGCAAGGGGACATCCTTAAAGCTGAACTAAGATGATTTTATAAATAAACTAAGAAGCTACAGTTCTGTGCAAAAGTCTTGAGTCACCCACCGTTTATTCATTTATACTGTTTTGTTTTGCGCAGACACACACACACACACACACACATATGTATGTACAAGTAAACCATTCCTTGTATGTGCACACATACTTGGTGTATATGTGCACAGCAGAGTTGAGCTAATGCTAGTATCAGAAAACTGATTCTGATTTGCAGGTAAAATGTATCCGTGTGCGGCCCTGTCACCTTAAAGTAAGCATGCAATATGTCGTTTTGGGGTATTTGCTGAAACTAGCTCTATATTATTATATCTAATTTTGAACAGTAACAATGTAACAGAAGCTCAAAAACAGCCTGACAAAAGACTAGCGAATAATCAGTCTCTGTTTCAAATACTGAAGTAAGAAACACCGTGGTCCCCAAAAACATGATGGCCACATGATGAATATTTCATACATACAAGTGTAGCTACTCACGCAAGTCACCTCAGCACATTTTCTTTTTGTTTGCACTGACGTTGCAAAGAGGCTGAACAACACACAAATCAAATGAAAAATCTGCATTCCACACCAGCTTTGCGTTTGTGTGTGTGTGTGGGGGGGGGGGGGGCGGTCTTTTTCATGTCCTTATCTCCCAAAGAAGCGCTGGCATTTAGAGGTGTCCTTTACCAAGACCAGGATGAATTGTTTTCAGAGTGATACTTCAAAAGCAGCATTTTCCGTACCATTAACTTGTCTAACTGTGACACAGCTGCAGCGTGAACACGCAGGCATACACATGATGTACTAAAAGCTATCCTAATATGACAACAAACAAACAAATAAATAAATAAACTCAGACACACAACAGAGGGCGTGTAAATCAAATTTATTGGTGTGTGTATGAATACAATATATGCTTATGAACAGTTTCTCAGTCACAACAGGTACAGGTTAGAGGCACGGCTGATGTTAGGACACATTTACAGAGGCGCTTTCAAAGACAGGCAAACGGAGCAGATCGATGTAGTGCTGTCGCCACCTCGTGGCTGGAGAGAAGAATGCAGCCCAAATGAACAAGCTGGACAAGAGGCTGACATTTCACTGGCCTGTATCTGCATTCAAAGAGACAAGAGCACATCAGTCCAGTTTAAGCCGCCCTTCATCATCAGCCACGAGTTAGTTTCAGGTAAGCTGCTTTCACTGCTGTCATTACCTTGATGAGTTTGGTGGTGGTGGTGGGTGGGGGTTAGTTGTTCTTAAGCCCCGAATGAGGACTAAAGAGGATCTTTTTTTTAATGTCAGGTCAGCAACCCTCAGTGACTGTCTTCAAATATTGCTTTCTTTTTTAAATTTAAAATTAAAATAAATACAAGCCTTCTTTATATAGCTTTTATTTTGGTCCTGTTTGGGCATCTCTCTGAAGCTTGTTTTCTGTTTTATCGTATTACATTTGATCAGAAATTTATAAACCACTTATATATAAATAACTGTGATTTTGCGTGTTTCTTTTATGAAAAGCTGCAAATTTTATTGCTGCCTTTCAACACAGCAGCTAAGAGCTGAAAGGCAAAAGGAACGACATTTGTGCTAGGGTTTTAATTAAGTCTCCTTTCCTGTCATAATGCATCTCTAATTTGCTTACATGTATTGATTGCCAGCAGGGTGTTTGAACCCATTTTGTGTAGCAGATAAAAGCCCAAATTAAAAACAGCATCCTTGTTGTCAGGTCCATCAGGTCCTGATTCAGTTTCCTGTGCAGGATCGAGTAATCCATCCGGCACAAAGCAGTTCTCTCCAAAGAGATTCAGCTGGAATTTTGTGTTATATTACATCAATGTTTAAAGATGACCTTATATACTCTATATATATACTCTTGGACTCTGCCAGTAGCTTTCCATTATTCATTTCATACTGTGCTTGGGTACAGACCTGTAGTTCTTCGCTCTCTGACGTGGGTTGCTTTGCGTCTTTTTGGCCTCTCGTTTAGTCAGATTTGTTCTTGCTGCTTGTTCATCGCAAATACAAGTTTTGAACAGCAGCTGGGTGGAGCTTTGCTGCTCACATACAGAGCTACATACCTCAGATGGACATATTAAAGATATCCCCTTTCAGTGACATCATAAAGATCCAAAGAATGGTCTGAGTGTTCAGAGCAGACAGAAGCCTGAGCCTTTGGCTCTCAATGATTACTTGCACATACGCCGACCTCGTTATTTGACCTTTCGGAATGAATGTTTAATGAGTAACAGTGCATAGATGTGCATGACAGAAAATAAGAAAAGCATACTAAGTACTTATGTAGATATATTGCAAGGCTGGGATGAAATATCATGAAATGTAGAAATTTGTTCAGTTATGCAGTTAGTGAAAAATCCATAATGCTTGCATATTACTAGATACCCCCAGAGTTGCTTTACCTCAAACATTTGACTGCACTAGCTGTGTTCAGGGTTCAAGACCATAACATTTCTATGATCTTAAAATCTTCTGTAATGGAGTGTTGGCTTGCTTAAGTCAAATCTCAGGCTGTCTCGCCACAGTCCCCTTTAGTGGTTGTTTTCTTGTCCTGTGAGGCTGTCACTCCTAAATATTGAAAGGCTAAAAAAACAGCAATTGCCATTGTTTGCTATCACAGCAGCAAATGGAACTGCAGAGCAGATGACAATCCTTGGCTCAAGATCGAATCTTTAAACCTCACGTAACAGCAAACACTGTTAGAATTTAATGGCAGTACTTTTGCCAAGGTGAGCTTCTTTTGCTTGTCCTTAGTATGAGGCCTGATTTGGTTAGTCACACAGCACAGGCCGCGTCACACTTAATATGGTATTGTCTGAGATAGTCCCTGAGCTGAGGTGGCAGCGGCAGGCTGTCTATGCCTCGGTAGGTGGTGCAGCTGCAGATCACTGCCCTGCACAAGTGCTGGAGGGAGAAAGGGAAGTTCCTTGGCAGAGGTCTGGAAAGGAGTGGCTCAAAGAAGAGGCAGGTGGCTGGGTCGCTGTAGTGCCTGAGCAGTCCCGTCACACTTGGATCACGGTACATACACGGGTCACGCACATCAAAGCTGAAACGCTTGCCGTTTTGTTCAATACGTGCATGTAGGGAACGGCTGTAGCGCCGAAAGCTCACTGAGAAGAGAAATTCGTCCTGGGCAGAGTCCCGGAGCAGAAACGTGCCCTCGGGCTGGCCCTCCAGCAGCTCCTCTGCCTCAAAGCGATTCAGCACGCCCCAGTAGCATGGGTTGTTGTTGATCTGTAGGAGATCTGGGACCAGGATGTAGTCCGTGTGTCCACACCTACCTTCTTCATGCCCATGAGCACAAGAAGGGTCCCAGTCCTCCAGACTGGTGCTTCCAGGCCCAGGGGAGCAGCATATGTCCTCCCATGAGATGGGGGTTTGTGGTGGAGAGGTAGTGGATGAGACACTAGGTTTGAGGGGAGCCTCCATGTCCTTGAGGGCACTTGGGTGGGTAGCATGATTTTTAATAAGGTGCCAACATCGAGCCAGTTCAGACTTGGGTGAGAATGGGCACTTATCCTGCATGAGCTCTGACACATGGATCTTGCGTTTGGACCAGAAGAGCACCGAAAAGGGTCGCGAGGAGCCCGATGAATGATGG